GGTCACTTCTTCCTCTAGGACACGCTTGGTGGTGCTCACCCACTCGCACAGATGGCAGTTTCAGAGGCAGTGTGGCATCCTGGCTGAGTCCGGGTCTGCAAGCTTGTTCACACCCCAGCCTGCCTACTTCCTGTCTGCCTGCTCAGCCAAGGGTCTTGGTCTCCCTGAGCCTTGTGGGAGCCCCTCCTGGGATTCGGCTGGGACCATCTGGGTTGAGAGCTCAGCCCAGTCCCCGGCAAGTGTCACATGCGCCCATGTCAGTGCTTCCCTCCCAGTGCTGGTCTCTACCCCAGTCAAATGACAGTTACAGGAGGGCAGTCCCGAGTCTCTGTTGTCATTTAAATTCCAGTGCCTTTCAGGATGCCTCGGGGCGCTGCTGGAATGTTCTCCTGCCTCCGGGGTGGGAGTACACCAAAGCTGCCATGCTGAGGCCCTGGAGCTCAGATTCTTCAATGAGATTTTTCTAGTGGTTTTATTTAATAACAGAAAAAGAACTTCTAAGTTATAAAATATAACCTCAGGTCTCTAAAGGCCAGCAGTAGGCCAGAGGTGGACTTCAGTAGTGCGGTGCCTGCCTGGCAAATGCAGTCATGAGTTCCACTCCCAGTAAATCCCCTGTGCCCCAAAAAAGACCAGCAGTGAAGTTATGCACGGAAGCTGGGGCTGTTTATTTATTTTTCTTTTTTAAAATTTTAAAATCTTTACTAGTCCACATTTGCGGTACATAATGATTATATTCTTTGTGGAGGAGGGTGTCCCCGTGCCCTCCCTCCTTCCCCCTCCCTAGTTCCCCTTTCCTTTTGAATAATTTCTTCCTATTTCACAAAACCTGTTACAGAGTTTGGTCCTTATTTATACTTTTGGTTTCTCCCATGGAGAGACAATGCGGTATGTCAGTGTCCGATTTATTTCACTTGAGAGGAAGCACTGACTCGCAGTTTGGAACCTGTTTGTCAAGGTGAGCGAGCTCCAGTGGGGCAAAGTGCATGAACCTTGGTTGGCCAGAGCTCTGATTTCAAATTTGCTCATCCTTTGTGCACCGCTGGGCAGTAACAAATCGCTCCTGTTTATTAAGCACTTACTGTGTGCTGGCATCCAGATAAATAGCCACAGTCCTGATACCTCTCTTTCTCTAAAAAGTTGTCTTTTGTTGTTTGCTGGTTTGTTTTTGCAGGGTGTAGTGGTGCTCTGTGCCTCCAATCCCAGCACACAGAGAGGCGAGGAAGGAGGATCGATCACAAGTTGGGGTGCTGCCTGGGCAGCTTAGAGAGACTGTCTCAACATAAAGAGATAAAAGGCCCTGGGGATGTCGCTCAGTGTAAAGACCTTGGGTTCAACTTCTAGTATGGGATTTTGTTTTTTTTACTGAGTAAAATTGACAAAATCGTATATATTTAAGGTGACAAGCATATTTTGAGATAACATTTTATAATAGTACAAGTCAAAAATTCTTTCAAACAAAATATGGTCTGCATCAGACAGATTCAAACTGTTAAACGAATACCATTCTAGACAATTTCTGGATATTTCTATATATTAATGTACTTTTGAAAAGAAAATATTGGCAATGCCATCATACTGTTTTACAACCCACTGTCTCGCTTAATGAAGTGAAGCAGACACCTTTTCACCTTGGTGAACTCATGTCACCATCATGATCTTTTAATGACATAATTAATAATATTAATTAATAATTAATAATAATTTTCCAGCCCCCTATCACCTTCTTCTCCCTTACTCCCTTTCTCTTGTTTAATAATAGACTCCTTTCAACTTTCATGCCATCTCTTTTAGATTCCATATATTGGGAAACTTGTGTTGCTTATCTTTCTGAGTCAAACTTATTTCATTTAATATGATGATCTCCAGTTTCATCCATTTTCTTGCAAATATCATGGTTTCATGCTTCTTGACAGCTGAGTAATACTCCTATGTGGTACCATCACAGAAAACAGACCAAACATGGGAAGAAATGGCACCAAGTAGGTTTAGGAAGCAGTTTATTACACTGGTGGCCTTGAATGGGTTCTCTCTCAACTCAGTCAGAGCCCCATCCTGCAGGAATGCAAGAAAGAGGCCCAGAGCTTCATTGGTGCATTATGGTTGGAAGGCTGGGTGACAGCACAGGTTACCAAGGGAGTTAAACATCTTGTCTTGGTTGATTTACTCTTACTGCTGAGACAAAACACCCAATATCCAAGATTAAGAAAGGAAAGATTTATTTAGCTTACGGTTTGTGGAGGTTTCAGTTCATCATCTGCTGGGTCTGAGGCAGGGTGGCTCGTGGCAGAAGGCAATAGCTCATGGTGACAGAAAACAGTAAAAGTAACAAGAGCAGAAGGGGCCTTATATTACATGTAGGGTACACATCCTGGGGTGGTGTAGCACTCACACCCATAATCCCAGCAGTGGACCATGAATCAATCACAAATTCTAGCATCCTGCCCCCATGACTGTATGAGGCTTTGGGGTAACATGTAGACACAAACCCTAAGTTGCACATCTCATGTTACTTTGCAAGGCCATTAGCCACACAAAGACAGGAAAAACAGGGGTTACACAAAGAAAGGAGTGTTTTGTTATAAGGCTTGTCTGGATATGTCCACCTGGTTTTGGTGGGCATTCGTGGCAGGCTTTTATTTAAAATTTTAAATTCCCTTACAGCACAATAAATGTGTAGATATGCCACATTTGCTTTGTCCATTGGTCTGTTGATGGGCACCTAGGCTGGTTCCATATCTTGGTGCTGTATATTGAGCCATAATAAACACAGGTATACACGTATCCTTTTAATATGCTGACTTTAATTCTTTCAGGTATACTCAGGGAGTAGCTAGATCAAATGCTACCTTTATTGTTAGTTTTCTGAGGAACCTCCATGTTGATTTCTTTAGTGGCTATCCTAATTTACATTCCCACTAGCAGGGTAGAAAGGCTCCTCCCCCAACCCTATCCTCATCAGAATTAATTAAGTAATTAGTTTGTTTTTTTATAGTCTTGACGGCAAATATTCTGACTGAGGTGAGATGGAATCTCTGTAATTTTGTTTTATACTTCCCTAATAGCTAAAGGTATTGAGCATTTCCCCCCATACTTATTGGCCATTTATATGTGTACTTCTTCTTTTGGGAAGTGTCTGTTCTATACATTTGCCCACTTGATACTTTTGGTGTCAAGTTTTTTGTTTTTTTTCTATAGTCTAGGTATGACTTTTCTGTCCAAAGAGTAACTGGCCAAGATTTTCTGTCTCTTCACTCAGTTGATTGTTTCCCTTGCTGTGCAGAAACTTTTAATTCCATGGAGCTCATTTGCTCATCCTTACCATTATTCTGGGCCTACTGGAGTCCTGTTCTAGAAGTCTTTGCCTGTACCTATGGCTTTAGGTATTTTTTCCTACACTTTTAGCAGTTTCAATGTTTCTAATCTTACGCTTAGGTTTTTGACCCATTTTGAGTGGATTTTTATGGAAGGTAGGAGATAGGGATCTATTTTTAATCCTCTACATATGGATATCCAGTTTTCTCAGGACCATTTGTTTAAAAGGCTGTCTTTTTTCCAGTTTACATTTTTAACTCCTTTCCCCTGAATCAGAAGGCTTTGGTTGTTTCTGTGTCCACTGGTCCATTGGTCTATGTGTCTATTTTTGTCCCAGTGCCATGTTGTTTTTGTTACTATGGTTTTGTAGTATAATTTGAAATCAGGTACTGTGATGCTTTTACCTTTGCTCTTGTTGCTTGGGATTGCTTTGGCTATTTAGGGTCTTTTGTGCTTCCGTATGAATTTTAGAACTCTTTTTCTATGTCATTGATATTTTGATGAGGATTGTATTGAATCTGTAGATCGTTTTTGGTTATACGGTCATTTGAACATTACCAAATCTGCTGTTCCATGAACATGGGGAAATCTTTCCATCTTCTAGTGACTTCTTCAATTTCTCTCTTTAATGCCATGAAATTTTTATAGCAAAGCTTTTTCACCTCCTTTGTGACCCCTATGTATTTTTCGAAGCAAATTTTTGAATAGAGTTGTTTTCCTGATTTCTTTCTCAGCTAGTTCATTAATGATTTTTATATGATGATTTTGTAGCCTGGAGTGCCTCAAATTCTTAAATCAACTCTGTTAAGTAACTATTTTCATTTTAGTGATAAGGAAACTGAGGTTCAGAAAGCAGAAGTCATGTGTCAAAAGCCACTCAGTCGGGCAGTAGCCAGGGATGGATTTGAACCATGTACATGGCAATGACCTCCAACAGCTCTCAGGGTACCAGTTTGCTCTTCCATCCATTTTGAAAATGATCCATAAGCTCCTAACGGAGCTTGCAGGCAGTGGCAGTCTAGCTGTCTGCACAGGAGCTGCTCAGTGTCTTTGTCTTCGTGTCCATTTCCACACCAGACCCCTGTGGCAGCAGGCCTGTGTCTCATTCATGGCACCCACAGGACCCAGAATATGCCCAATGAGATTGCCACTGCTTCTTTTGATCCTTATTTCCACATTTCTTAAAAAAAAATAAAGCAGTGAAAGATGCCTGCAAGAGGCCTTGGGAGGATGAAATAACACGAGAGGCTTAAAGTTGTAGCACCCATGGGTTTGGGGGTGGTCCCTTTTGGTGTTCTCTGTGCCCAGCACTGTTCAGCACCCCCTGGTCCTGCATGAGTGTGCATCTGCATGGAACCTTCCGTGCTGTCTCCCCTGTCTTCCCTGCACCCAGCCCACCTTGAGCTTTCCTCTAGGGATGCACTGGGGAGAGAGTGGTTGGGACGAAGGGTCCGGCTGACGATCTATTGGTCACGCCTGTTGATTGATCTGAGTTCAAGGGCTCTGCAAGTTCCCAGCAGGGTGATCTTGGCTGATCCCACTCAGCCTCTCTGAAGTTCTGCTTCCTCCTCAGTCACATGGGAATCACTACAGTGGCTCCTGTTTTTAGCTCTCCATTCCTTCAACCCTCTGGTTCTAAGTTCTAAGAAAACTGGATTTACCTGACCCTCTGCTTCTCTGTATAGGTGTCGCCAACTGTGCCCAGGGACTGACTGGCTGAGGACCCACAGAGGAGTGCTTTGGGCACCCAACAGTGAATGGTGAGGGCCTCTTGTGGTCAGAACTCCTGTCTCCTAAGGGGACCAGAACCCACACACAGGGCAGGGGCAGGAAGGGAAGACAATAGCAGAGGTGTCCCTTGGGCTCTGGAACCGTGATTTGGAACCCAGCTTGCAGTGCCACGTCTCTCTCTCTCTCGTTACACTTAGCACTGCTAGAATGCTCCCAGCATTGAGGGATTAGTTTTGGTGAATAAATGACCTCCCTCCACTGGACTGCCGGGAGCCAGAATCCCAAAGAGACAGAGGCAGGAGACTGATACTTACTCTTAAATCATGCTTTTGTCTTTTCCTAGATGTGTGACATTGGGCAATTTCAGCTCTCTATGCCTCAGTCTCCTCATTTTAAAATTGGGGTTCATAACCTTCCCGAATACTTGTGAGGACTGAGAAGGTTTATGTATGTCAAGTCCTAAGAACAGTGCCTGTCATGTAGGAAGTTGCGGCAAGGTGTCTGTTAAATAAAATAGTAACTCAGGAAGTGGTTAAATCGCCACATCAGTCTTGTCAGAGCCAAGAAAGATGTGGTTGGTTAACTTCTTTTCCTGCTGGTCCTTGTCTTATCTTGCAGAAAATGGAGGATGGAGGTTACAATGATTCTGCCTTCTACGAGGAAGACTATCTGGATGGTTCTGACTCCGTCGTGATTTTGGAGGACTCCTCTCCCCAGGAAGCTGGGATCGCCAGGATCTTTCTGGTAGTGATCTACAGCATTGTCTGCTTCCTTGGGATCGTGGGCAATGGCCTAGTGATTGCCATCGCCACCTTCAAGATGAAGAAGACGGTGAACACTGTCTGGTTCCTCAACCTGGCCGTGGCAGATTTCCTGTTCAATGTCTTCCTGCCTATTCACATAGTCTATGCCGCCATGGACTACCACTGGGTGTTTGGGACAGCCATGTGCAAGATCAGCAACTTCCTGCTCATCCACAACATGTACACCAGTGTCTTCCTGCTGACCGTCATCAGCTTTGACCGCTGCATCTCTGTGCTTCTGCCTGTCTGGTCCCAGAACCACCGCAACATCCGGCTGGCCTACATGGCCTGCATTGTTATCTGGGTGCTGGCTTTTTTCCTGAGCTCCCCATCCCTCATCTTCCGTGACACGGCCAATCTGCACGGGAGAATATCTTGCTTCAACAACTTTAGCCTGTCTGCACCGGAGTCTTCCTCCTGGCCTGCTCACTTCCAACTGGACCCTGTGGGGCATAACCGGCAGATGGTGGTGACTCTCACACGCTTCTTCTGTGGCTTCCTGATCCCCGTCTCCATTATCACAGTCTGCTACCTCACCATTGTCTGCAAGTTGCACCGTAACCGCCTGGCCAAGACCAAGAAGCCCTTCAAGATCATCATGACTATCATCGTTACCTTCTTTCTCTGCTGGTGCCCGTATCACACACTGTACCTCCTGGAGCTCTACCACAAGGCCATGCCTGGTGTTGTATTCAGCCTGGGTTTGCCCATTGCCACCGCCATCGCCATAGCCAACAGCTGCATGAACCCCATTCTGTATGTTTTCATGGGCCAGGACTTCAAGAAGTTCAAGGTGACCTTCTTCTCCCGCTTGGTCAATGCTCTGAGCGAGGACACGGGCCACTCTTCCTACCCCAGCCACAGGAGCTTTACCAAGATGTCCTCAATGACTGAGAAATATTCCATGAATGAAAAGGAGACCAGCATGCTGTGAACCTCTCCTGAGAAGCCCCCAGTGGGTACTCCCAACCCAGGGCTGCCCTAGGACATTCCAATGTTTGGTGCATTTTGTATGGGGTAGGCCACATTGTGAGCTGGGAGTTCAGCACGTGGGACTTCTTTCTCTTTAAGTGGGATGGTAGACACAGCCTGTCACATTGCTCATAACCGTGGACCTGCAGTCCATGCTTTGTGGGAGACCAGCCTTACCTGATTTGGAAGAATAAAGGAAGAGTTCTCCAAAGCACCGCCATGAACTGAAATCAACACAAGGCTGTGGGATGAGGCTATCGTATACCCTGGAAATACCACCCTCTGTGAGGTCCCTAGTGTGAGCAGGGGAGGTCAAAGCCAATCCAGGGTGATGCAGTTTGCACTTTACCCCTTATTCCTGTATCAGTAGTCGGCTAGGAAGCTCCAGTCTTCCAGCCACGGCTCTGGGTTTAAGGAGTATACCATGCATGGTTACCTGGGACAGCAAGATGACATTGGCCCGTGAGCTTTCAAGACCATGAACTTGACTCTAAGATGAGCTGGAAGGACAGAAACCAGAGAGGCTTTGTGGGATCTTTGCAAGGCCAAGACAAAGGGGGCCTGCAAACAGAACTTGGGGCTTGGTGGCGGGGGAGGGGATCAGGAATGGTAAAGGCAGAGCAAAGGCCACGGACATACAGCACCTTACCTAGAACTCCACAGGGCAATGATGCTTTGGCCATAGGTGCTACTGGGGTGTGAGTGGTGCCAGATCCTTGCTCCAACTTTGCATGTGATGACAGTTTCCTGGAGTTGCTGGACAGCTTCACTAGCCTGGCCCCCTGTAACAGAGCTCCTTCTTTTCCTAATCCACTCAGCGCGGGCTTGGAGGTGCTCAGAATAAACCCCGCCCCCCGGAAGTGAGCATGCAGAGAGCAGGACTTCTGCTTCTCTCCCTTTTCCTCCAAGCCTTGTTGGAGGCCGCTGGGAAGCACAGCTTTGGGAAGCATCCTGGGAGCGTCTCCTGAAGAGAGGAGGGGTCCCAGCCCCGACCACAGCCTGCGATCCCGCTCCTTCAGCCAAGCTCCTGAGCTAAACCAACAACAGCCCTGTGGCCTGGCTCTTGTCATCGTACCGGACGTTTCCTGCTGCAGGGAAGGACACTGTCTGTTCATAAACAAGGCCAAGGCTATCAGGGTGAAAGTGACTCACCTTTCATTGCACACTGCAAATCAGTGGCAGAGATAGGAGCTGAACGAGGGTCTGACGCCTGGCTCCAGTGATTTTCTTCTTTTCTTAAGAATTTATCTATTGAGACTATTCCAGACGATAATGACAACCTACATTTATGCACTTTCTACGTTACGTATTTTCTATGTATCTCATTTATTCTTCACAGCAACTCCAAGTTAGGTACAGTGATCATTTCTCTCTTACATGTGAGAAATCTGGGGCTCAGAGAGGTTAAATGGCCTGTTCAAGGGCACTTAGCTAGTCTCTGCCAGCAGCTGGATGGCAACTTCTGTTTTCCTGCCTCCAAAGAGGCTGCAGAGTCAGGAAGCAACGAGAGAGGATGGGGTTTTAACTATAACTATTGATTCTTCAGCAGATGGCTGAGAACATCTTAATGGCAATTAAGAAGCTTTGCAAGTAGTTTTCAGAATGATCTTACATATACAGACAAGGCATTTGGGCTCCAGTGCCCCCTATACCATCAGCATTCACCCTTATGGCTCCCATTTTCAGCACCTTCCCCTTTCAGCAGAAAACGGGGCCGGGGGGAGGCCTGTCAGGAGGCAGCCTCTGCAGGCCCAGGGCCTTCTGGCCTCTAAGTGTCCACATTCTGTTCTCTTCCAAGTCCCCTTGTTGCTAAGCCAATTCTCCAACAGGATGCAAGGAACAGATGTGATGTCTACCTCGAGCTGGGCCAGTCCCCAAGTTGCAGCCTGTTTGGAATCACACTTCATTAGAAGACAGACTGTTCCTTCCTTTTGGGTCTTGATGCTTGTGATGAGGCGGCTCTGAGTGGACACAAGCTGGGGACTTAAATGCTTCAAGGAGTCTGTGCTTTTTCCACTTGAGAGCCAAAGAGGAACTGTGAAGATGGCCCAGTGCCCTGACACCCCTGCCCTAGCTTTCAGATGAAGCAACAGAGGCACAAGATGGCATAAGATTTGTCCCAGGTCACAAAGATGGTCACTTGGCTTGGGGATGATGGCACTCCCGCTGGGCTTCCTGGTTGGGCTAGGGAGCCAGGAATTTGTGTTGTCATCAGAAAAGCTGATAAACAGGAGCACAGTTCAAGCCTGCTGTTTTCCCCCTCAGAGCCAACCCTCCCTTTCGTTGGCTCCCTATTCTGACTGAAGTTTGCTGTTTAGTATTAAATGCAACCATGACATTCTCGTCAGTCACGTCCCCGTGTCGTATGAGCATTTCCATGGGTCACATGTGTATAATTCCTGCAGTTTGTTAAGTGTGTTCCCGTGTCACTTCGCAGGCAGCCAATATACTCAGGGCCTGAGCACCTTCTCTCTGGACTGAGGAATATAGAGCCCCGCACTGCTTCCGGTGGGGGTGGATGGGCCTCATGAGGGGACCACAGGCAGAGGGACAAGAAGAGAAGATGGAGTTCAGAGCAGAGAAGCAGCAGAGCATGATGGGGAAGGAAAGATCTGCCATTTTTAAAAAGCATCTGCTGTGTGTCGGTCCAAACATCCACACCCACGATTGACCTCACGGAGAGAGAACCATGGAACAGTGGCAGAGGCTCAGGGAGGCCGTGTCGCCTGTCCAAAGCCTCCTGGCTATGTTGTGAGGTGGCTAAAGAGGCCTAGGGATTCCCAGCCTCCTATTCCCCACATTGTGGACTCTGGGGAATCTGCACTTTGGAAAAATTTCCACTACTTATTTTTATTTTCCTAGTAATTCAGCATATCAAAAAATGTAACTGAGTCAAGATAACACAGCAAGCCTTAGTAGGTAAGGGACACAGCCAGAGCTCCAACGTCCATGTCCATGCTGTTGTGCACTGCTCAGCTGCTCAAGGGTCCACCCACAAAACCTACCCCAACACCCACCTGCCCGTTCACCCCAACTTCTACCTGTTCATCCATCTATCCCACCACCCTCCCACCCGTCCACTCACCTCAACACCCCTCCAATTACCTACTCACCTCAGGAGCCACCACTCACACCAACATCATTCAGTCATCTATCCCAGCATTCACCCAACAATCCACCCACCCATCCGTCCAGGTACATAGCCATCTATATCAGCGATGGTGAACCTTTTAGTGATCAAGTGGCAAACTGCAACCCAAAACCCACTTTTTGCAAAGTGCCAACACTGTGATTAAACCTGAATACTGAGGTTTTAGTACAGAAAAAACCCCCAACTCATACATTAACATCTTTTGTTTTAAAAACACAATAACATCCGTGCAATAGGTTTGCCATCACTGACCTATATATTTGCCCATTCGTCCATTTATAAAAATATATTTGGTGTACTTCCACTTCGCCAGTGGCATACCACTGTGGTGGGTATTGGGGACGCAGGGATAAGATACACACACAATCTTTGTCCTCATGATCTCCTTTATTGGCTAGTGGGATGAACAGGTAGAAATTAATAATTAAAAGCAACGCATGCACAGCCCCAATGGGAAACGGTTATGGTGAAATGCTACTCTTTTATTTCAGAGGGACCTGACCCTGTCCAGAGCCCAAGGCAACTTCCTTGTGGGAGAGACACTGGTCATAATGCAGAGGATGGGTGGACATTGATCTGGTGGGGAGTGGAGGAGCGGGGTGGACATTGATCTGGTGGGGAGTGGAGGAGCGGGGTGCTCCAGGTGGAGGGGACAGCATGGGCAGCTGTGAGGAAGCAGGAAGGAGCGATGGTTCCGGGGGGCTGACAGGGATGGGGTGGCAGTGAGAGGGTAGGTGAAGACAGGACAGATGGTGAGGTGGGGGTGCCTGCCCTGCGTCACTGGGAGCCATGTGCAGAGATGTGACAAGACCTGCCCTGCATCCCGAATCAGTGCCCCCTAGTTGCTCTGGTGAGGACCAACTGGAAAAGGCAGAAGAGGAGGCCAGGGGGCCGCTGCAGCCTCGCCGAGGCATTGGGGTCCCTGGACAGGACAGGTGAAGGCAGAGCCACAGAAGTGGTTACAGGGGAGAGACTTAACAGCTTCCCAAGCTCCTCAGGGGAACAGTTGGTGGGAAACCAACCCAGGGCTATTGCTGTTATAGAGAGGTCTCATTGTACTGCTTTATTGATGGAAATTAATTGCAAATATTATTCAAATTTATCTCCCAGGGCACAATTATATTTCTCAGGGGAGCCTTCTGAGCACATAATAAAGCTCCATAAATAATACATATATTAACAGACGAGGAACGAGGCATATTCACACGGCAACTGTGGGTGGGGGCTGTGGGAATTTATGCAGACGAGACTCCCAATGCTTGGAGTTGAGGTGTAACCTTGCGTATCACCTGAGTTCTGCCCTGGGGGAGCGTCCAGAAGCATCTCTGCACTGGAGGACGGGGATGTCTCAGCACACCAGGCAGCTGCTGGTCTCCACACCTGGTTAACAGGCAGCTGGGGATGAGGGGCCAGCTGGTGAGGGGAGGGGCGACACTTCTCGGTGCTGGAAATGTTCACACGGAGAACACCAAGTGTGGTGGTGGTGCGGGGAGCAGCACCACACAATTTGTAAGTGTCAGCACCGGGATTTAAGCCCCGTCTGTTTGTCTCAGAAATTTTTGCTGTTTCCCCAGCAACGTGCAGACAGAAAACTCTCCCCTTGAAGAGACTCTTCTTGAGGGAGGATGACAATCTCTATTTCCTCTCCATTGTCATATTTTAAGGAGGAGGCGAAGGGGGAAAGTGAAGGATTGTCTTGATCTGTGGGGGAGAAACTGGGGTCTGACGGGTTTGTCACTTCCTCACAGCCCTGAGGAGCTGAGGGCCTTGGAAGAGACACTACTTCATCAGTGCACGCCTTCCTGACCCCCATTACATCTGGGGACTGCCTGCCTCACTCCTGTGCAGAGAGAGGTGTGTGTCGTCATCCTCTGGCCCTCGGGGATTTGCCCATCCTCCCTCTTCACTTTCAATTTCATGGCCAGGGCTCTGGTGTTGTTCTTCCCCGAAGGTCCCTACCCAGAATCTGGGGTCACTGAAGAGTTTTCAGCAGGGTTCTACTGAAAGAGAAGTGGATCTTGGCCAAATGCTTCAGAGAGGAGATGGGTTCTGTTTGGGTGTGGATTTAGCCTTCAGAGTTGTCCTGAATGTAGGCATTTTCTGACCTAGCTGGTGATTCCCTGGGTGTCCCATATACAAAAGCTCATTTATCTGTGCATTGAAGATACATATACATCATTATGATAAGTTATGCCTCAATAAAAGTCTTTGTAAAAATGAAATAACTGGAGATATGGGCAGGAATGACTCTCCACTTGCACGGGCACCCCGGACGGGTGGCAGGAGGAGAGAACCAGGTCTGTGGGCTTTGCCTCTGACTCAGAAGAGCAACTTAGAGAGAGGTGGTCCCCGCAGGGCCCATCTGAAGAGGCAGATCCTCAGGGAAGACTGAACTCTCCCAGGGCATATCACAGCACCGTCCCACCTCTTGCCCCAGCTCAAAGGCCTTTGATGGTTATGACACAGGAATGGAACGGGGTAGAGCTAAAATCCCAGCTGTGCTGTCTATAGTAGCTGGGGACCTCAGGTACTTCAATACCCACAAAACCTCCCCTTTCTCATCTGTAAAATGGGTTGACAAGAGTTTGCGGCCCACAGCATGGCTATGAAGATGAAGTGAGAAGCCCTGTCTTAGCATTTAGTCTTTGCTCATCTGCTCCCTTGCTGGTCTCCCCGCTTTCCTCTTTGTTGTTTTCAGTCTCCTGTGCAACGAGATTAGCTCCCATCACTGTCCCGGTCAGCTTTTGCTGCTGAGACAAAATGCTCAACACACATAACCTAAAGAGGAAATGTTCATGAAGTATGATCACAGCATATGGTGAATGCTTAAATTTTTAAAAACTTATTACAGGAAAAGGCACATTGCCATGAATCCCCTTTGTTTCACAGACTCTTACCCCATTGTTTTTGCAGTTCTCAAAGTCCTCTTTCATCATGTTTTTATCGTGATAAAAAAGTATGGCGAATTCTGCTTACCAGGTGCCATCCGATGGAAAGGCAGGCTTCTAAAAACATCACGGTGACTCCCCATCCATCTCGTTCACTGGATTGACACCCTGTGATTTCTGGCTCTTCACCAAAGTCACAGTGACCGTGAAAGGTAAATGTTTTGAATCAATTCAGGACATTAAAACAGCCACAAACATGCAACTAAAGACACTCGCTCCAGGACTGCTTCACAAGTAGCAAAAAGCATGAGATAAGTATTTTCAAAGTTCAGAAGTGTTTGGAGAGGGATTAATGGCAACATGTCTTTTACTGTAATACTTTTTTTTGGGACAAATTTAAACATGCACAGTGTTTGCTAATCATGCCTTGCATTTGGGCTCACAGTTACTGAGGCTTCCGTTCATGGTAACGTGTTTCCAAAGCAAAAACACCAAGGTAGGAGGATGCGGTAAAGAACTGCTCATCTCAGGGCATCTAGGAAGCAGAAACTAGGGGGAAGAGGCAGAAAGAAAGAGAAGGAGGGGCTGGGGATGGGGTTACCCTTCAAGGACACACTCTCAGTGGTTCAATTCCTCCAAGCCAGCCTTGTTTTCTACAGGAGCATTCAACTGTGGACTCATCAGTAGCTTAACCCACCTTAGAGGTCAGTGTCCCCCACCCACCTCTGGGACTCGCCTCTGAATGTTGCTGCGTGGGGGATCAAGCCCTTACCACACAGATCTTTGGGAAAGGCTTCATATTTAAACCACACAATCAGAGTATAAGAATTCAGTCCCAGGGGGCTGAGGATTTAGCTCAGCGGCATAAGCACCTGCTTTGCAAGCAGGCAGTCATGAGTTCGATCCCTGGTACCAATAAAAAGGAAAAAAAAAAAAAAATTCAGTCCCTTGTTACGGCTCGCTGAATCCCACAGAGTCACCCTGCCCGCTTCTCTGACTTCATCTCCTGCTGTTCTCCAGCCAGGCAAGCCGGAAAGGGTCTCAAAGACAGAACAGAGCACTCTGGAAGCGATGCCAGTTCAGGCCTTCGCACATGCACCCTGTTCTTCCCAACCACTCCGCCTCTGTCCTTTGCATGACTGATTCCTCCACCTCTGTCAGGTCTCAGCACAGACGTCACCTCCTCAGACCAGGCCATGCTAAAGCGTCCCCAACCCAGTCACTGTCAGATTCTTTCTTTCATGTTCTTCATAGGGCACCAAACCATCTGAAATCATTTTACTTATGTATGTATTTAGCTACCTCCGT